ACATCATGAACAGCTATCTAAACAAGAGCTTTTCACCACTGATAACACATCCTGTAGAGCTGCAATAGTTATGAAAAATCCAAGTATCCACAAATCTCATTTAATCTGGTAGGAAGACATTGACATCCTCTCACTACAGTTCCAGTGTCTTATTTCTCAGATTCCACTTGCAGCTCCATTTTCACATTTTCTTCATCATACTAACCTCCAAATTTGTATTATATTGCTCCCCATCAGAGACTACTGAACGCCTATGAAAAATATGATGGAGCAAAAGGAACATTGCTCATTACAAGTTCAATGTGCCACTTTCTGACCTACCCAGCTTCTCCAGAATATTTCCCTCCCCACCTCCTTCCTGGTGCTTTATCTATTCTTAATCTTTTTCATTTGGGAAAGAAAATCCAAAATGAATCCCAGGCCCCATTAATTTGTAGTATCATCCTTAAAGGTTCAAGACAGAAGCGTAACTACTACAGCAACAGAAATCAAAGATATGGTACGAAAAAAGGACAGTGCAGTATATGTTCCAAAGCAAGAACATGCTTGGAAAATAATCCCTCCATTGCATACATATATTTAGATGTAAAAGTTGATGAGAGAGATCAGTATGAGATTGTTTCTCTCTGATCATGATTTCAAGTCAAGCGTGCTGTCTGACCTGCACAAAATAAATGTGCTGCAAGCCTACTTGCATAACGCCCTCTAAAGATGATGAAACACCTTGAATTAAAGGAAACAGACTTCCTGTTCCTTATACTTCTTTTTTGAACACACGCAGATTTAGTTTGCAGGCTTTTTTCGGACACACATGGAATTAATAGGCAACCCAGTTACAAAAAAGGGGGTTACATTATTTGAAAAGGCTTTGGGATCCTTAGGACAAAAAGTATTTCTCTAAATCCATGATTAATAAAACAATCTCCTGGGGCAGAGTATGGAAGTTATACACATAGAAAATTTATGTGACAAAGGTATTTGTGATACACATGGATAAATGAACGAGGTGCAATTTAAAGTTATGATCGATACCTTACCTCATGCTTCTATACTAAGCTATGAGGAACATTAAATACAGTTAACTTTGAAAGAGCAAGAAATTTTTACTCTGGGCTAAACCCACAAAGTTCTGGTACCATAGACCTACTCTGATTAGTAAGAATTCCTTATGAAATACATAGTCAGTAGGCCATTTTTAATATTAAACGCCTATATATTTTTCTAGTTTACATAGTTCCTTCTCACTTGAGGCCACATACAAAGGTAAAAAACTGTAAGCTTTCAGCATGATAATCCCTACCCTAACATCCCGATAAGATGAGCATCCAGCATATGAATAACACGTGCTATATTAGGAGTTACCACTATCAGACTCCAGGAAATACTTGCTTTTCTTCTTTCCATGCATAACTGTTTGCCTACAAATTACAATACATCACTTCCTAGACAGAAAGCAGGGAAGAGCCTCCCTGTAAATACAGGACAATTTGTAAATCATTATGGTACCAAAACTGCCCAGGTGGTAAATGAAGTCTTGCTGGTCAACAGAAAGTTATGATCAGGCAGCTCTTGGGGTTTGTTTGGGTTGGTGGTTTTTTTGTTTGAGGTTTTTTTGGGAGGAGGGGTTGTTTTGGTTTTTTGTTTGGTTTGGGTTTTTTTGTTTGTTTGGTTTTTGTCTTTTTTTATTGAAACCACTTTTATAGATAGTTTAAAATCTTACGGAAAACTTCAGCCCACTTACCGTATGGAAAAGAGAGAACCATATATGTCATATGGCTTTCAAATAGAAAGTTTTAACATGCTTCACTTCTTGGATGACCTCACACTATCACTTGACTATTTTCCACTATCATCAGTGATCTCCGTATCTGTTCTTAAGCTAAACTGGGATTCCTTGTCTCACCTACTTCAATAAAATCTTCATAAGAGATAACAACTCACTTATCAGCATACTTACTACACAAAACTAGATCCTTGAACAGAAATAAGTCAGATGTATGCCAAGTGTAAAACTTCATTTGTTCCTTTCACTACTATTTCACAAGCAGCTTATTACACCCTCATTTTCTACACTGACTATTCTAGGAAATATCTCAGTACAGTTATTTTTACAGCTTGATACAGATTTGACTAATCTACAATCAAGGTATTCTTGAGCAAATTGATTAGTATTGTGGTATCATTTAGCTTTTACAGTTAGCTCAAGATTTCATGGGAAATCGTCTTTTGCAATAGGTGCTACAGAAGAAAAGAACTCACGTGATCTATATTTGCTTCTCTTCTTCCACTTTAAAGTGTTTGAAAACTTTGTCAAATTTGCATTTCACAATGATTACTATTGCTCTAATTTTATTTTTTTCCCTTTTTGTGGTTGTTTGCTCTTAGTAAGTCAGTAGGAAGCAAGTATAAGTTTTCATTAAGAAACCAGGGTATTTTAAACTGCAGCATCAGAGAGAATCCCAATTGCATACAGGAAATAAAGAGCACAAACCTTAGTGTTTTGTGAACTCTGGTGTTGAAATTCCAGCCTACAATTTTAAAGTCTATGTCACACTGCATTATCAGACTGCTTAAAACATATAGGCAAAACTGCTTTCTATATCACTATCACTTTCTGTATCACAAAAAACTTCCCAAGCAGTTACCCCCCACCTCATACTTCCCCCTCAAATGAAGCATCACGCACTGTGTTATGAACTTTAGTAAATTCAGTCTCCAGCAGATGACAAAAGCAAATAGTTCTCCAAGGAAAACACACTCTGGTTTTGTATCTCTCAGGCTTGCAAACAAGATAGAAAATTAACTTCTGAAAAACTTTCATTCTTCTAAAGTATTCCAATTCCACTGACACATTTTGAAGTTTTAACCAACATTAATAGTACATGGTTGATTCAAATGTATGACAATAAATACGATCCAAGAAATAGTTAACAGCAAAACAAATAGATATATAAAGCCGGTATCTTACCTTGCCTGCATCCAGCCTTTAGGCCAAAGTGGTTTCACTTCTGTTTCCATAAAGGTTTTGAGGTAATCTTCAGCAGACTGACTTCTATTTGGCTCTAGCTCATAGCATCCCAGCTTGATCTTGACAAGATTACACAACAGAGACCTGCAGAAAGAAACACAATAAATATATTGAAAGAAACAATCCTTTCAAAAGCTCCGCAGAAAGAGGCTGAGAAATGGAAGCGCTGATGCTATACAGCTGCTGTCCATTGCCAGTTGCAGGAAGAGCTCAGTTTTTTGGAAGTTTGCCACTGCACAAGTTTACTACTACAACTGGTATGATCTGCCACTGTCACTTCTCCTCCATTTGCAACAGACCATATGGCTCATTTTTTTTTCATCCTTACTATAATTTTGTAATTGGTTTTACATTTTCTTTGTGGTTTTGTCATAGATGAAACATCCCCTCTCACTTTGCTCACAGTGACCTCTATCTCATTTAAGACGTAGAATGTCTGAAAGCAAGTGAAATCCATTCTACACTGAATATTTCAAAAGAAGACTCTTTCTGACAGGAATGCTGTCTTTTACTGTCCTTAAAAATATAAAAATGCACACAGCTAAGCAACATTGGCCTTTCAGAGCCTCCTGAATGAAAAAAAATCAACAGATTTAAATATCTCTTCTTTAAGTATGGCTCCCTCCAGATCAGTTCAAGTTATACTGGTTGTATATATTCCATGAAGCTTGCTTCCCTGTTGTCTTTAACATACTAAAAAGACTCATCACAAGAAGTCCACCAGCCCCTTTTAATAATATATATACTTGTACTAAAATTAGCTTAGATCTTGCATGGGAAATTACTAATTTAGAAGGATCTGCTAGTTTAAAAGCCTATCTAGATTATTCAAATAATAGTAATCTCAGTTTTCAGTAAAATCTATTCTAGGAAACAGAACAGTGAGAATTCATCACTTCAGACAATAACCTGTGTTGCTCTTGAGAGATAACACAGAATTTGTGTTCAGAGGGGATGGAAGGGGCTAAGATTCATGCATTCTGGATGCTGGTTTGCCCAAGGACTGGGAGGCTTGCCAAACCAGCATCACCAATTTTGGTGGTCTGCCCTATTGTGGCAGAATCTTTACCGCTCATTGGGTGACAGTGCTTGGTGACCTATTCCTAGAATGGTGGGAAGCAGGTATAACTGTTTACAACTCCGTTCTTTGCTTGAAGACCCTTGAAGTCCTAGGACCAGGAAAATTCTCACGTATTTGGATAAAGCAGATAAACAAGCAGTGAAAAAAGGGTTGGACATAGGATGATCTTGCCTTTCAAGTTAGAGAAAAGGATGTTTTACCATTGCAGCGTTCTAGCTTGCCTATTTAGCCCCAACACTCTCCAAAACTTCTGAGGTGTACTTCTGAGAACAATTATTTATTAAACATCCCCTTGGAGATCCCTTTATGAAGTCAGTGAAAATTCTTGGTAGAAAAGGTAGTTTTGTCTCACCTCACTGTGTCATCCCAATGAAACTTCTTTCTGGGTCCCACAACCCTCTTTCCAGGTTTCTCATCATCATCTTCCTCCGATCCATTTTTCTCTCGCTCATCTTCTTGCAACCTATGGTTAGAACAAGTGTCTTTATAGATATAAAACACAGACAAAATGTTTCCTTGAGAAAGGAGTGTCATTTTAGGTGTTAGGAAAAAAAAAGGACCTGTCTTCAGATTCTCATTATACCCTTTCTGAAAGGGTAAACTGTTCATCTTCCTCCCCCACCGCTTCATGGTCCTCAGAGACAAGTGAAAAGGACACACTGTATAGATGCTATCAAGAACGCTGGCTATAAGCTTCATGTAGTGCCGCTACTGGGAAATGGCAGGATGCTTATCAATCTATTAATGCTTCTCCAAGTCTAAAATTAGTTAACTATGAGGGAAACAATTACAATGAACAAGAACAAAATATATCAAGAACCTGAACACGCCAACCCCCTCCAATAATCCAGCATTTTGAGAAACTCTAGTATCCTTTTCACAGTTTTTTTCTCTCAAGACCTATTTCATTCAGTTAATGGAATTTCTTTCTGGGTTCAAGTGATAACACCACTTACACAAAACTAAGTATTTTGTACAATTCAAAACTTACAGACACCTGTCAACTGAAGTCGAGTACTTTGCTGAGCTCAGGGAATGAACAACATGGAGACAGACTTCCAGCTATACTCTAGAATGGGCATGCACAGACTCCAGAAATACCTACTTGGCATTCTTGGCTTGATTGCGGGCCTGACAGTCCTCTTGATATTTGCATAACTGTTCAGGCATGACGTTACTGACAGCCAGTTTCAGCTTTTGCAGTGGTTCTCTCAAGCGGTCATCCTGTGAAAAGAGAAACACCAAAGCAGTCCTATTAGATGCAATGTAAAGAGTGTTTCAGATAAGCTTCACAAAAATAATTTCCCATTCGCTCCTGAGGCAGTACTAACTATTGACTGCAATAGCCATTTCCTACATGGCATTTGAATCCTGTTAGGTGCAACAGCATTATAGAAATGCACATACTTGAAATTTCTCATACAGCTCATGTAAGCCTTGAGACCGGAAACAATGAAAGATAGTCACAAGGAAACATATCATGAATATTGCAAAATATTATGGCATGATCTCATTAAATAATGCTTTTTAATCAAAATAAGGAAGGGAAGAAAACCTGAGGGAAAAAGCAAGATGACTTGACTGATGAGTATCTCAACACTTGCAAATAACTATCCAATTAATCAAGCCTCCAAAAACTCTGTGGTATAAAAACATCCTAGGCAATGAACAAAATATATGTATTACATTATCTGACTATTAGGTTATTATTATTATATGTAACTTATGTACCTCAAAAGTAAGGACTATGTATTTAGAATTGTCTCCAAATATTAAGAATTTCAAACATTAAAGTAATATACTATATACTTCCCTGTTTTAAATTCTCTTCCTGTATCTTCTGACTTTACATTCTTAATCATAACTGCTTATTGAGAAGGACTAGAATACTATGTGCTATTATGTCTTACTGCTTAGAAATAGCATATGAATCTGTTTGCCTTCTTAGCAAGTTCCGAGATCTCTGCATTCATGATCCTCAGATCCTCTGCAAGATTTAGTCCTGGATTTCATCTGAAGAATCGGGTCAGGATACTTCAGATCACAGATAACTTTTTTATTCAATAGGAAAACATATTCTTTAAGAGAAAAGCAACTGCAAATGACAAAAAGTATTTGTAAGACCTAGCCACAAAGGCAAATTTGCACAAACAGCACAGGCTGGGTCATCTATTATCCATCTAGCCTTTCTTTTTTCTTGACACAAAAGTGAATGCAATACTAGTTGGTTTTTTTTAGCCTGTCATAACCATGACTATTGTGGCTTTCTAGTTCTGCTACTTTGATATGTACCCTGTACCCAGCTCTCACGATGAAAGCACATCATTCTCAAATAAAGGGTCTGAAATACTTGAAATATTTGTTACTGAAGTAGCAACAATAGCAGGTACACAGAAAAAAGCTTTTAAGCTGATCTAGCAACTGATCCAAAATCTTCTGCTTTATTGGAGACTGTGTGGATGTTGCTCTACTCTCCTGCTTTCTGTCCTCATCGCTATTACATAATTGACTCGTGCTGGAGCTAATCTCCCCATCATTACCTGGACATTGAGGTGTAACTTCTTCAGACGCTTTATCAGTGTGTCCTTATTGCATGGCACAAAAGCCTCAAGGTGAGAGTACACTCCATTGCGGATGGCAGGATTTATCTCCTGTAACTGTAGCTCAATACTGGCAAACAAACAAGAGACAGTCAAGCAGTGAGGCATTCAAGATGAAGATGACAACTGAACAAAACCTCAGGAAGCTCTGTATGCATAACATATTCTAGCTATGCATACTAAAAACAGCAGCTTGAGACATTTTCAGATAAACTTTTTTACAAAAGGAGGGAGTCTTAATCAGTGGCAAGAAACCATTCATATATATACTTCTCCAGCAATGTTGAACACTCATTCAAATTTCGTTTACTCCCACCACTGCACATCGATCTTGATACAATTTTGACTGCTACAGTCTTCTAAAGATTACTTTCTGTTTCTTAGAATACGAACATAGAACCTTCTATATTAAATGCTTAGCTGAAGGATTACAGAGTAAAAAGAGCTGGCATTTTCCTTCATGAAAGCTGAAGGTGTTTTGAGTTATGAAAGTGGGGGACAGGAAGAAATAAGGGCAGTTTTGCTGAATTTCACACATGAAGTGAAGGACATGGCACTACAAAACACTTTACACTGTATATAGGCAAATAGTCATGACAGGAATTGTATTCATATATAAATCTCTTTAGCTAATAACTAGCTTAGACTGATCTACCTTCTTTGACTTTTAAGGGCTTTGTTGGAACAACCTCAATAATATTTCCTCTTCTGTACTTTTCCTTTCACCCCCTTTCCAAAAAGGGAAGGTTGTACAGATAAGCACTTACTCCAGCAGAATATTATTCATGTCTTGTGTGAAAAACTTCTTCCTGCCTTCTTCATCAAACATCTTGGCGGCCTGAAAATACAGCAATAAAGAGTATCCAAAAGTTCATAGAGCATTTTATCCCAACAACCTTTGTATCTTTACTTTTACAGCTGTATCACATTCTTATTTTCCAGAGAACAGCACTGGAAACTTGGAAAAAGATAAACAAAACCAAACTATACTCAACTGTTTAGAAAAAAGGTGAGGATTGTTGTTATTACACTCAAATAAAAACACCTTGCTCTAGCGCAAACCATCATTCTATTTAGAATCTGCCTGGATCACTAATGTTAACACATTCATCTTTTCAATAACCATGAAGAAAGAAAACGGTAGAGATGTTTTATTACCTCACCACCAGCAACATTCCACTACCACTGTTTGCTTTAAAAAGAGGAGCATTGCTTGACAAGTCAAGCAGGCAAGAGCATCAACACATTTCTACTTTCAATCTATGAAAGGCTCCTCTTCTACCTCTGTTACGTGCCTTCACCCAGTTACAACTCCCCAGCCTTCTTAGATCCATCTCAATCCTTCATTGCAATTTCTACAAAGGGATTATGTGTGCTAGAGGAATACCTCATCCCTCTTTTCTGGTGCTGTCCAGCATTCTTGCCATCTTTAGACTGTATCTCTAATATTTTTGTCTGGTGTCTTCCTGAGTCTGTTTGGGGTGGGGGGGAAAGACAAACTTATATCTATACATACTTCCTTTTATTAGAAGTTTTTACTGCTCTTGCAGGAATTCCCATGTAGGATCCCTTTATCTTTGTTCTTATCACCTAGATTCTTATCTTCACAAACAATGACAGCTTGTAGGAGAAAGCCAATTCCCTGCACCATTCTACAAAAATCAGCAAGATCTTCTCTCTAGTATTCATCCACTCTGCAGATTTATAGAAGTCAAGAGAAAAAAAACCTCACTTTTAGAGGCCTATTTTCATCTTATATTCTGGCACTGGGACCAGACAGCGAATATCTAAAGGACCTGGAAAAGGACATGCATGCAGAAAAGTAGGCAAGTGTGGTATGATTATAGTGACTGACAAACATTAGAGGCAGCCAACATCCTACAAGGCTGAATATTCAAATAAATTAGAAATCTCTAATTCTGCCTTTTAAAAAACATCTTTAGGATTTGTGACAACATAGCTAAAAACTATAAATAAGTGCAAGTCTTAACTTGATAAAATTCCTTTATTACTATGAAATACTTACTTGCTCTTTGTAACTGACCCATTTAAGTTTGAAAGAAAAGTATTTTCTGGAATTGTGAACTCTACACTGCACAGGAAAACAGAAGTCTGATACTCTATCAGAAATGATAAGGTAGCCCATTGTCTGAATGCTTTACCGCTTCAGTCATGAACATTGATACCAGAGTTTAAGTTCCTGTAAGGACTGCATTCTGCTCACTACTTTCTACTGTAAATTCAGCTGCTGAGGGGGTGGTACTATCTGTTTAGGAATACTGAAGCATTTGTCTTGCTAAAAATTTAGAAAGATTATAGATGTTTACAAGTGATACGATACCAAGAAGACAAGTTTGAAAGTCTTAAATCCAGTATCTTTAAGCATAATTAACACTAGGATTATTATCCTCTTCTGGTTTATATAAAGTGAAAGGAAAGATACGCTTTGACATTTTGGTCCCAGGTAGACCTTAAAGGGCAATTTCAGCACTATACTGGACAGCGTTGCTGGCTTTTGAAGAGAGCAACATTGTCAGATTCAAAAATTGCATTGCTATCACTGAACTGTGGGGTTTTTATTTCCACAGACAGATTATCTTGACAGTTACCTTCACAATAGAAAAAAGCCATTTTATTACTTTCCTGCTTGTGTACAATATTGTTTTCTGTCATGGTAGTTCAGAATTGCCCACTTATGGAACTAAAGACATTAATCTACAACAGGAAGTCAGGAAGTTTTTATTGTATTTACTCAGTGGCTTTCTAAATATTGTTTGGTTTTTTTTTTTTTAATCTAGATATATCATACTCCATTCATGGAACATAGGCTTTTTCCTACAGCTTTATAAACTTCTTAGCTTTCTTTGCATTAAAGAGCACTAAAGCTGTGAGCCTGGTAATATTTGACAGGACCCATTTCTTTTTTCTTGCTTTTTAGAAGATGTTTTCCGCCACTGATAACATGTCAGTTGATTGCAATTTGCAGAAGGTAAGGAAGTTGCAATCTTTAAGTCAACACACAGTCTAGTTTTTCCCCAAGTGTATGGGTAGACTTGCTCTGCTCAGCCAGCACCAAACTTCCAGAAGACATTATCAAAAGCAGAAGACAGAAGAGTTTGGTTTTCCAAGAGCCACTGAATTAAAGCTTTCTTCCAACTGGGTGGGGCTTGTTATACAGTGAAGCAGCATGAATTTGGGGCAGACCACTAACACTTCCTGACTTTTGGCCTAATCCAGTTCTTCTGCAGTTTTGGTCAAAGCTTATTGTTGATTCATAGCAAAATTAACCTGAATATTCAAAGGTAGACAAAATCACCTCTCTCACTTTATTAAATATTAATCCCTTGGCTGTATTTAGCTTGGTACATTTAACAGTAACTAAGAACACTGTAAGACATTTACATACAGGTAAGATAAACATTATGTTTTATCATTACTCTAAACTGTAGCAAAGCAAGCTCTGCTACTGTTTAAATTATTTTTTTCCAAAAAGGTAGTAACTTGAACTGCTTTTTCAAAACTTATTCTGAGTAAGGAAAAGCTGCGCTTTATTCTGAGTAAGGAAAAGCTGCACTTTATTCTGAGTAAGGAAAAGCTTTAATATCAGAATCTGGACAATCAAACAAGTTTATTCTCAACTTAAGATAACATCCACAACTGAAACAAGAAGCATATAATATCTTAATAGCTCTGATCCCTTTCAATAAGCTATTGGGATGTTTGTAATCTGTGGATTTAATACTTTTCATTAACATTTTGATGAGTTTGGACTCCATTCTAACCTTCCAAAAGAAAATATTCAGTTTTGTGGTTGTTTTTTTTTGTAGTTGGGTGGTGTTTTTTTTATGTTTTGTTGTTGCTGCTGTTGATGTTTGTTTGGTTTTGTTTGTTTGTTTTGTTTTAAACTTGCAAGTGATGATTTACCTTTCAAAGCCAAAAATTCAAGACATTGATTTGTAAGCTGCAGGCATATTTCAGGTTTCCTCCTCCAAAGTCAAAAAACACCCATCCATTTAACCGACTAATAATTCAAGTTAAACTAACACTGATATTTCTATTATGGAAAAAACCAAACAAACATTACAAGTTATTGTATACAGAAGATTTTGAAAACCTTGTCTCCACTGTGAAACAAACACTGCTTGAACAATTGACCTGCATCAACTCTGTGCCCATTTTCATCTGAGTACAAATACAGCCATTAAGATTGACATTAAGATCAATTCTACATTTTCCAGAGTTTCAGCCAGCAATTCAAGGATGACAACTTAGGCCCTAATTATTCTTCCTCATTCTCTCAGATTCTTGAATGCAATCCCTTACCAGTGAATTTATACTTACTGTTCGAAGGTCTCCAATGCGCTTTTCAAGTAGCATAGGCAGACCTTCTGGGAGAGCAGGCACCTGCTTGGGTGTCATGACCTGAGAGGTGTAGGTTGCCTGAGTGACATTTCCATTTTCTCCTGACAGCTCAGATACCGGGCTGCCATCAGAAGTGCCATCAAGCAACTTGTCAAAGTCAATGTCTCCCAGCATCTCCAGGGCACTTTCAGCTTCTTGCATGAGCTCAGGTTCATTTGTGCTACCAAAAATGGAGAGGACAGGATCATTGATCCTAAGATTCAAGTCAGAGATATCGTTTCCTGCACTGAGAGAGGAAGAAGGAATTTTACTAGGGGTAGAGGTTGCAACAGTCACTGGAGGTTTTGGACTAGATTCCTTCTTCCTCATGGCTTCCTTCTCCTTTTGAAATTTACGGATCATGGCAGCCAGAGAGAGAGAGTCTTTATACAACTTCTTCTTCTTCTTTTCAGACTTGTGTGAATTTAAGGCCATTACTCTGTAGAGGAAAGAAATCTTTCATTAGAATGCATGAGACTTTTGAGGCCTTAGTAGCCTCTAACAAAAGTCTGGGAGTTTAGTACAATTAAAAAATTATCACGGGGAAGAAGCAAGTACTTTTTCCTTCTATCTTCAGACTATTCTATCAAATACCATAAACCTTTCCTGGTCATGTGACTTTACGCTCTCCAACTGATTTGTTTTGCTAAGTTTTGTACACATTAAGGCAAAGGTTGTTTACTCTTGACTTCTCAATTTAATTATAGAGAAGTTGGCACAGTTGTTAAACTCACAGCTGATCTGTGCCACTAAGATACTTAAACTTACGTCTCAGACTCCTGAATGGTGGCAGGTTGCTTCAAGTTTAGGCACACTGTGTATGTTAAAAAAAATTGCTAAGAATTTTGACATGCAGGCTCAACATCTATATGCTACTTAAATTGAGCATTTTCTGCCAATTCATCACCGTGATGAAAAATACCACCAATAAATTTTCAATACCAACTTGAATATTCATAATAAGACAACTTTCACTCAACGACAGTTTTCTACCACCTTAATCCTTCCATGCTAGCCTCAGAACTCAGGAAAGCACACATGAAGTTAGTAAGAAACATGTAGAATAATTAAGCTATGTTTATAGTTTTCTAGATTAGAAACCAAGGGACAGAAAGAAAATTATTTTTCATTAGAAGATGTAATTCTTAGTGCTATGTAAGACTTTGGGTAGAATAATGACAGATAACACTATTCATAGACTCAAAATTTATTTTCTGTAATTTGTCTTTCCTTGTTTTATTATGCCTTGTTCAAAATTCTGGGGGACAAAAAAATTAGTTTGTAGGACTTACTTATGCAAAACTCCCAAACAAATTCCAAACCCAAAATCTATTGTCTATTAATTATAGTTTAAAAATACAATATTCTAAACAGCTGTGATAATCTTGCTACAGCACACTATCTTGAAGCCAAACCTCACATACAATTCAAGGGTTCATCTAAAGAAAGAAACCTACCCCAACTGCTTAGGAACTTTCATTTTCCGAGGCTTCTTCTCCTTTTCTGTCCCTTCATCTTTCCGCTTGCGCTTCTTCATTCCACGATCTTCACTTTCTTTTAACTTTGCTATCTAGAAAAGAGATCAATTAAAGGACAATGATTCTTCCCCCTAAAGGACTTTTACAGCAAGAAACATTTAGTTTTCCTTACACATTCCAATTCAGAGCCAGGAAAAATACCTCAATGTGTGTAAAGGCAAACAGTACCACTAGATTCCTAGCAGCAATTGCAGTTACTGACAAGTCTCCATCATTAATCATTTTTAAACAGTTACTGAATTCAGAGTTTTCAATAAGAAAAATACCTTAAGGCACACGCAGACTGATGCCCAGCCAGTACGAGCAATGGCCACCTTGGAAGACTGAATCCCCCCCACCTTCTTCTGCTACCACAGTTTCATTGCTCAGTATGAAGTTACATAGTATGGAATATATTTTTGACCAATTCAGACCAGCTGTCTCCCCTCCCAAGTTCTTGCAGATCCCTAGCTTACCTGCTGGTGAGGGTAGGGAAAAACCAGCCTTCACACTGTGCAAACATTATTCAGCAACAGACAAAACTTTGGTGTGTTATCAACACTATTTTAGTCACAAATCCAAATCATAGCACCATAAGGGCTGCTATGAAGAAAGTTAACTCCATCCCAGTCAGATCCAATACAAGAACCTTTAAATTACACTAAATTTAAAGAATTACAGAGCAGGAAAGGACATCAGAAAGCAGGATGTTTTTGGAATGGCATGGAACTTGTGAATGTCACATGCAAGCAATTATGTTCGCATTGATCATAACTTGTCAAAGTACATACAACAGCACGCTGTTTTGGAAAGACTGTATATGTACTTTTTAATATAGCTATTCTTATGCGCCGAGTTTATTTTAACAGATGTTTTAAGTGTTACTCTGAATATTAGGAACAATTGCAAATCATGCAAGCTTTGTGCAAAATCATAAAAGCCGTGTTGGAGAATTTAAGTTCTAATCTCATATAATAAAATTCCTATAAAATTACAGAATCATCTGTCACTTCAGGATGGATGGACACAACTTGTTAGCTCGCCTAAACAGATAGTTAGTCTTACAAGACTGGACAGCCTGTGGAATCCTGAGTTATTTCCCAAATGCTAGTAAATGAGCCACAGAACAGAAAATGCAATAGAACAGTACTGTGCATCATTCTGCTTTCAGCCTCTTCATCTGAGCCATTCTAAGCGTATCAACTATTTCCCAATGTCCACCTAGCTGTAAGTTCTGTATAAAAAGCATAATTAAGATCACTCACTTTAGGTGGCCTATGCTTTTTGTCTTCTGCAAAGTCTTCATCCTCTGAGTCAGATGCCTGGCGGAACTGCAGTGTACCAGTGTTGATATAAAACCCTCCATATTTGGTTGTCAGGGATGCAGGAACCAATTCATCATACTGGGCAGGAAAAAGAAGATGAGTTTATCAGCATTTCTTAATAAAATTAATATGTAGTTCATTTACCAGTCCCTATACATGAGAAATTATATACAAGTACACAGCACAGCTTGCTAGAATAGAAACAGGATAGTAATGCTATTGAAAACTTACTGGCCAAGGCACAGAACATTGATATCACAGAATAACCTTCCTACTTTTAAAACAATGCCCTTTTTTTGGAAGAAGAGACAGGATTACAGCATTAGAAGTACTGCTTTCTGAAGGAAATGAGGATGGGCACAAAGGCATTCCTACCCCCCACCACCCCAGGAAAAAAAAAGCCCAAAAACTTTTTAAATTTTTTTCCCTTCAATATTCTGTCTCTGAGAGCATGTTACATTATGCTAGACATTAAATCTCAAGATGCATAAGCCATATGAACAATGGATATATCACCTGCCTATGAGCAACTTCACTTGATTGTTCACTGGTTGTTTTTGTCCAGGAAATAGGCAGGCACATAGTGAATTATATGTTTTCATCTATGACAGCCTTACAGGCATACCAGCAACATCACTTGTTGAAAACAAATTTTGTTAAAAAAACCAAAACAAATCTGCCTCTATCGATTTTAAATTTTACGTTTCATACTTCTATTGAATACCCTTCAATTTTATGAGGCAATATGCGGTTCAAATTGCCTTCTGTTAGTCATACACTTCTATAACAGGCCCTTTAAGTTATCTGTAAATGATAGCTACAGTTATTTCCAGAACCTATTTCTTCCGCATTTTCAAAAAAGATGAGTCTGAACAATCACTATACTGCAGTGGAAGAAGCCTAATCTATATCAGAATTTTACAGAATTGGATGTTATATCCAGGAAACAGGACTAAAGATAGTAGAGATGTTTTTGTAAATTAAACATAAAAAAACTTCTCAGATTATATGCTTTGTTTCATTAAGACTGCCACAGTTTTCATTAATACCAACCTCTGGAGTGCACTTGACATGTTCAGACGTTCCAACACATGCTATATTTAGTACCAACTCTAACCACCGTGCCCTGCTCAAAACCCTACCTCTCTTACAAAGTTCTCTGAAATTTTCTTTTGTTAAAAATGCTATCCCAGACGTGACAAACTTAGTCGCAGTATCTGTTAGCTTATTTCCAATTTTAGGTGTTGAATATGACATTGCCTCTTATACAAATACCACAATGCCAGGACTTGTTTCATTGAAAGTCAGACATATTCTCACTCTGTTTAGACAGTTTTAAAACCACAAAAGGTTTCAAACTCTTATATACACTTTATTTTGAAAAGCACTGAGTATTTATGAAGGAATTTTCAAGTTAGAATTGCAAAGCTGTATCTCAAAAATATTGAAATCCAAAGACATAGGAAAAGTGGTCAATATCAAGTATAATGGAAGACAATATTAATTCTATTATTTCATGACCAGCAGCCTCCTCAGAATTACATTCTCTCCCAAGTATTACCAGAAGACTGTTAAATCTCTAGGAAATACCTTGTTAACAGCAAACTCTCAAGAAGACTGGGAGGATGAATGGATTCATTCTAGCTCTGTGCATAAGTATCAACAAAGCAAGACATGGAAGTGTTTGCAAGAGAACTGAGGGAGGGTTGCCTTGACAATGCTATTATCACTACGCAGAAGGACAATGTTGTCCTTAACTACTCCAAATTTGAACTACTGGTCTTTGTTTTCAAATACTGAAAATTGTAAGATGGTGAACTTAATAAGCAACAAATACAATTCTGGAAGCTATAATCTATCTGGAAGCATAAAACCAGAATGCCTGAGACACATACCTGTCAACAAAGATAAGGAAGAACCATTTACAGGACCTAGGAAGTGTTACAAAAGTACCAGAATAACAGTGCAATGACTAAGAATCAATTTCTGCCCTTCTTCTGAAAGAAAGGGTAGGATTTTGACACACCTCAGAGGTATGTACTCTGGCAGAGGAAAAAGTCGATTTTGAGTTACAGCTGTAAGCAATAAGTGTTTGGTAGCACAGCCAAATTATTAAGACTTAAAGATACCTGAGAAGGAAACAATGTGTTTGTTATTTTGAAGTTTGAACCAGCAGGCCTTCCACTTAACTGTCTGTTAAGACAGAATTCAACAGGCTGAATAAATTAGTAGGCAGTTTTAACTGCCACAACATTAACTGAAGACTTGAGATCACCTACAGGAAGGGAGTACACACAGTGCAAGGTGGAGTGTCAGCTACCAGCTTATTTCATTTCCCTCTGCATGCCATGCAAAATATACTGAAGATAAAATGGTTTACGAACCAAACAGTCTGGGCTACCAAAAGCATTAAGACAGGAAGAAGAGTTATCCAGAAGAGGAAAACAGTGAATGTATACTTCAACAGGGAAGCTGGTGAAAAAAGCCTGAACCGGAGACCTATCTGGATTTGATTTAAGTAGTTAGAGACTTCCATGAGTCATCACCTTTTATTTTCCTGGAATGGAAGGCTTAACAAGCAGTACAGAAAGACAAAAAGGGAAAGGAAAAGTGGTGACAGGATCTATGAAATACCCTAAGATCATATCAAACATGAGCGCAAGAAAGCAGGAGAATCTATTAATTGGACAAAATGAAAGCAAAGTGGCTTAGTTGTGGACTTGTCATTCATCTTAAGAGACCAGGACGACCACGCAAAGTAGGAAGTGCAAAGTAAACTTGAGTGGAGGCTGAGTAAGAATTTCAGAGAAAACTGATGTTTTTCCACAGCTCTCAGAACCAGCTTCACTACATACAAGGAAGATGAAAGGGAAAGAAAATAAATTATTATCCACAGTGCTTAATAGACAGCAGGCATTCCCCTTTTGAGCTGACAGGGTGTGAACCGAATTGGTGAGGTTGGGGCAGTACAGGATCAAAACAGAAGAATACAGTAGTTGCCAAGTTTCAAGGAGAAAGCACACAGTCAAAGCTGGAACCATTATCATAAAAAGTGAAGAGCAAGTAAAGGGAAACACAGTAAAGACTTGGCTGCAGAGCAGTAAAGGAAGCCCTGGAGAACACACAAGAAAAAGTAAGGATTAAAGACAGTCCACAAGGGAGGAAGCCTGAATCACAGCAGATTATTAGGATGATCAACATGCTATGTGGCACAGATCCATAGGAACAAGACAACCAGAAAGGCAGAATTCGTTCAATATACAGATAAACAAACTATCCCAGAATAGTCGGCAGGCAAACAAGGTCAGCAAGATGTGGATGTGCAACCTACCAGTTGAGGTTTCAACAGCTTCTGCTGAGGACTATGAATTTAGTCAGAATTTCAAAGACTTCTTTGACATTCGGTTCTCCTTAACCCTTGAGAGAGTTTACTTTTCCCTACCAAAATTTGGTTTGTCCTCAGCCTAGTGAACAAGGTATAACTTGTGACTCAATGTTTCATTTGTTTCATTTTATTTTCAACTTACATAAAACTGGGGCCTGCAGACCACAATGTACCTAGTACCCCCTCCTTCGAGGTAAGTTTATGTTTTCTAGTGCCCTAACTGAACAGAAAATTTGAATATGATTGTATAAGATATTGGCAACAGCTAGATTAAACTTCATTTTAAAGTTTCTTCAGGACTCTCTCAGTTAACGGGAACATGGCTCTTGCAACTTCTAAGTCTTCTGATGAATTGGTTTCAAGACTTTTGCTTTACACTAGCTTTTTCAGCATATGAAATCGCAGAAATGATCCTATTAAGGAAAATAGTTTAAGCCCTTTACAGTGTTCTGCTCTTCCTTATACATTCCAAGATTGAAAATTAAAATTCTCAGACCTACAAACAGACAGGACTTCATATATGATTGACTCCTGTGAACACAGATTTGTCCCACAAAAGATTACAGAATCATTCTGCAGATAACAAAGTAAGACTGATATATTGTCTGATCATCTAAAAGCAGATCAGTATCCAAGTTATTTTCAACTTTTGTCCTTGAGCTACTTTACTATGCTTCTAGTGCCATTAATCTAATTAAATGTTTAGGTGCGAAAGATAACGTATTTAAAAAAAAAAAATCTAAATTAACCAGTTTCAACTTCATTATTATACCAAGAACAGTGAAATTTTATGGATGATACAATTCAGTTCTGAAATCCAGACCCACAGTACACAGCAGTATCTTATATTGTCTACTCTTGTGTTCAGATATTTGGACCATGATCCTCAGATATTTTGACCATGATCCTCAGATATTTTGACCATGATCCTCCTCATTCAACTCCCTTCCAGAGAACAACCTATAATATAAAAGTACACATGTGAAAAGGCTTTTTAACACTTCTGTATTAAGTCCTGGAAATCAGATTTGCTGCAAACATGTCTAAGTGTTTTAAGAAATGTAGCCTGTACATTATATGTTGTGAAACATATAATGTTTAGATATCTTTTATCTAAATAATAGCAGTTAAGCAGGGATCATTTTTATTCCTTGTTTATTTTTGAGATGGCTTTAACCAGCTTGGGAAGGGCGAGCTGTTTATTTTTGACCATCATTAGCCCACTGAATAAAGTCAAGCTAACTGAAGTTATGTCAAATATGGTTGCTTCAGTCAAATGGACTGAATATCCATACACTTCACTACATACTTCGAGATACTTCAAACAAACATAGTTGATCCATCTCTATGCTTCTTAAAGGCACAAAGAACTGAAATACACTCTTTGGCTTTGCTATCCTTTAAGGATAAGTTTTCAAACAAAAACCCCAAAATTATCTTTCCGAAAAATAGCATAATAGAATATATAATGAAATCTTGAACAAGGTTAAGGGGGAACAATACATTGCTTTTCTAATCCAAGACAACATCAAAAAGCAAGCAGAAAGAGCTTTCCTATGGTAAAGAAGATTCCTCTTCCAAAATGCATAGGCAAGTTGTTTTGTTTTGTTTTTTTTAACCCTGGACAAAGGACAGCTGGCAAAGCACAACAGAAAAAAGCATAACAGACTATTAAATAAAGATATAATACCTG